CAGAACATGCCCCATGTTTGGAAATAGGCTTTCAGCAAGTAACTGAGCACACCCAGCTGTGCTGAACAACAGCCACACTGGCACTGTGCTGCCCGGGAATGCACTGCAGAGGGACTTGGGCTGCCAAGGCAGGAGAGGTATTGGCTGAGCATCACCGAGTGTCTGAAACCTGTTCCCAGGGAAGCAGTGGGATGGTTAGGAGTAAGCTTTTCGCTATTATCTTCACTTCTACACAGTCACTTTGAGTCTTCTCCATTTAGAATATGAAACATTCTAGGTTTTCTGCTATTTAAACTTCAGCTTTCTGAGTGTAAAGCCCCTTCATAAGTCTTTATGGTGCTCACTCAAGGGTCTCCCCAGCTCCATTTTGAAGCTCTGGTTGACTCAGGATGCAATCACAAACCAAAAGCAATGCTCTCATTCCTTCCTGGAGTCAGTGCTCACCCTGTGACTCCAGGTAGGACTGTGCCAGGTCCTACATCCTGGAAAGACAATTTGAAAAGAGGAAAACAAGATTCTCTTCCAAAGCCTGCTCCTACAGCTGGACACTGGGGACAAGCAAGTACTGGAAGCTGATGATCCAAACCACATCCTGTGCGGTAAGTCCTCCCCAGTGCCACGAGACACAGAGGTTGCAGGAAGGACATGTCCAGAAGCCCTTTCCCAGGGGATTATCTGCACTAAATTACGGGGCAAGCTCACCCACCAGCACAGGGGACAGAGCAGAAACCCACCATGGCCAGGCAGGGAGCCCTCACCACAACAGCCAAGGAGAGAGGCAGGAGGGAGGATGCCTCTGAATGGAAAGGCTGAATGGAAAGCAGCCACTTCACTAAGGAAACAAAAGCAGTTTGTGGTGCTGGTTTATTATTTCTCAAATGCACTGGAAAAGGAGACTTCTTCCAGTTTTTCTCCAATGAGGCTGATAAACTGACTGGAGGTTAAGTAAAGGTTGGATCTGGGGTGTCAGGAGGAGCTGCTGCTCCTGAAGGAGACTGTGCTGGAGAGGATTCTGTGTCAGGTAGCACTCAAAGACAAGGATGTTTGATGAGGACTTCAGTCTCCTTTTTTCAAGCCTGACTTTTTTTGAGCTCCTAGAGGCAAAGGCAATGGTGTGAAGCCTTGTTGCTCACTTCTGTCACCTGAGATGGTCACTGAAGGGGTATGACCCTGGAGCCTCTGTGGTCACCCAAGGGGGAGCTCAGCTACAAGAGCAGCCCTTGCAGTGAGGTGAACAGGGGCACAATCCTCATAAAGGTGGAGATTAAGAAAACCTAAATCATGGAAGAACCACAGCTACACAGCAGGACTGCAGCTGTGCAACTGGAGAGCCAAAGCAGCTAAGAGGGCATCATGCATTCTGCCAAGCCAGCATCATGAAAGCAGTGGCAGTTAGCTTGATGGGAAGATGGCCTAAGCACCAGCATGCTGATGTAACATTTCACAGGAAAACCACCGTGCCAAGCAGGAACAGACATTTCAGACATCACAGTCCAAGTCTCAAAGCAGAGAGGATGGAGCCTGCTGCATCTCTGCTTCACAGGAATAACTGTGCCCCTCACACATCACCCTGGAGGCAAGTCAGGGCTTGGAGAAGGCAATGGCAGAGGTCCAGACTGCAGGGAGCAGTAAGAGGGGACAAGCCATGAGCCAAAAGTGACCAACACAAAAGGAATGTGGACCTACTCAAGTGAGTCCAGAGGAGGCCATGGAGATGCTGAGAGGGCTGGAGCAGCTCTGCTCTGGAGCCAGGCTGAGAGAGCTGGGCTGGGGCAGCCTGGAGAAGAGAAGGCTCCTGAAGGGGGGACCTTAGAGCAGCTCCAGTGCCTAAAGGGGCTGCAGGAAACCTGGAGAGGGGCTTGGGACAAGGGCCTGTAGGGACAGGACAAGGGGGAATGGCTTTAACCTGACAGAGGGGAGATTGAGATGAGCTCTTAGGCAGAAGTTCTTCCCTGTGAGGCTGCTCAGGCCCTGGCACAGGGTGCCCAGAGAAGCTGTGGCTGCCCCATCCCTGGCAGTGCTCAAGGCCAGGCTGGATGGGGCTTGGAGCAACCTGGTCTAGTGGAAGGTGTCCCTGCCTGTGGCAGGGGGCTTGAACTGGATGGGCTTTAAGGTCCCTTCCAACCCAAACCAGGCTGGGATTCTGTAATTCTCTAACCCCAGCACAGGCAGTGTCGTCACCAGTGAGGTCCCACAGGGTCTGAGCCCAGTGGAAGAGCAGGTGCAGGTAACAGGGTCTATCTATGGTCCCAGACACACCAAAGTGAGAAACTGGGTCCATGATCTACTTGGGAGGCTTAGGGGCATCCACTCACCAGCCACAGAAGGGGAGAGAGACAGGACCACAGCACCAAAGAGTCTAGCCGGCCAGGAGACACGTAACCTACAGCATAGGTCCAAGGTCTATCCAATTGCAGGACCAGGACATCAGATAAGCAGTTTACAACACATCCAAAGCAGGCATTAGAGGCTCAAGCCTGAGCGTGGCGTGGGGACTCCTGGAGTTTGGGCAGAGGGAGGAGGTGTTCATCCCCAGGTGAAGGTGGTCAGGGTGATTAAGGCCAATTAGTGCTCTCAAGGCCTGCCACTGTGCTATCTGATGTATCCTGTGGGGATGTGAAGGCATGGAGGTGAGCTTATGTGGAGCCCCAGTGATGCCTCGCTCTCATAAGGTCAACAGAAACAGCAAGCTAATGAAGTGGTGGAGAGGGTGCCACTGGTGTGGAGCTGTAAACCAACAAAGGTCAGGAAGGGACCAGAAGGGGCATGCCATGACCATGGCCCACCTCTCTCCCACGGGTTGTGGGGAAGCCTCAAGGCAGAAGCATGTGTCTGGCACAGTTGCTGCAGAAGACAAGCCTTGTCCCACCTGAGCATGACAGACTTGGCATTAGTTATGTCCTGGACCAAATTCTACATCTGTGGCAGCCCATGCACCTCCAAGATGAGCACGGGAAAGAGCATGGTTGGACATCCTGTGCACAGGGTTTTTCTCTGCACTTCCAGACATAGAGAAGCCAGGGAGCAACAGCAAAGCTGGCGAGCATGTGCCTTCAGGTGGACAAAGGACCGCCTACATATTCCAATGCTCCCCAGGAGCCACAGCCCATGACCCATGCTGGTGCCTGCTCCACATGTCAGAAGTGATTTGATGCGTGGATTGACTCCACAACTCGTTAAAGTTGTAAAGTAGGTATGCTTTTATTCAGCGCTGAGACACACGGGGATAATTCCTCGAAGTCATGTGTGCCCCAGTGTTGTTTCCCTCTACATTTATTCTCTAAAGTTATATATATTCATAAGGTTGCACAATACACCTCTACATATTCATGTCTTATCCCCACTTCGTATTACAATGAGCTAGAAGGTCCTTTGTGCCAACGCAGTGCCCGCTCTGGTCATGGGCAGGGGTCTCAAGATGAAGTAAATGAGTCTTGCTCCTGTGGCTAGAGGTCTTCAAGATGAAGTAAATGAGTCTTCCTCTTCTTGAACTTTTCACCTTTTAGTCTTAATGTATGGCCTTAGGGTTTGGTCCCAGCCATAAACCACCTGCTTCTCCCTCTTACCAGGCGTCTACTTTTCCTTATCAATAGGTGCTTATCAGTAGAATCAGGCATTTGCTTTTCCTTGTCAAGAGAACCAGGTGTCTGATTTTCCTTATCAATACTTAGTGCCTTTGTTCTGCTTAGTAGGCATGATAGGTACAGACAATACTTTAAGCAAGCGAATTCCTCTAACCCCCTTGTACATTTGTTAACCCTGTATCAAAGCAACCACATCATGTGGTGCTCATTCATCTCCCCAGCATTGCCTCCAGCTGAGAACATCATCTGTAGCCAGACAAGTGTCCATTCCATTTGCTGTAGTGCCTGTAGAGTGACCCAGTCCCCTTGGATATGCACAAGCCATCCAAGCCAAGCAAGAAAATAGACAGGGCACAACGTTTTCTAGTGTTCCCAGAAAGGCCTCGACTCTGCAACGCTCCGGTAGCAAGGACAGGACATTACATACACTCATGTAGCTAGAAAACTTCACTACAAAAGTAACATTTCTTCTGTATGTGCTTTATATAAAAATAATGCCACAGGACATGACCTCACGAGGTGCAAGGCTGAGAGCTCAGCTGTGCAGGAGTAGGGCGGCTGGGCAGGCACCACTGACTGCCCCGACTGACCCTCCAGGTAATTCAACCCCAGCCAATGTCACGCAGCTGGGCTGTCACCCCAAATGCCTGATTACAGTTAATTTGATTGTGTTCTGCACTTGCAAAGCCTGAGATCAACCCCTGCCTCCCCTTTCTCAAGTCAACACAATAAAGGACTGAATGATGGCAGAAAATAAATACCTTTGCAGTCTATCCTCCCCACCTTTAGGGCTGGAAGGATGCCCTGATGGTGCAATCTGATGGATCTAATAGGCCACCTTCCTCCAGCTCTACTTTACAGCTGGCCCATCCTTTTTGCTTTGATTATGTTCCTTATTATGTGGTTTTGCTTTCTTCTTTTTCTGCATGCATATTTATGCTTCTGATTCACTGAGGGTGGTTAGAGGAGGATCTGACCTTTGATAACTTATCTACAAAGCATCATATTGTGAAGATCTTTGCACACTCCAGCAAAATTCACAGTGGAAAAGACATTTTGTCCTTTCTTGTGGACAGCAAACATGCTTATTTTTAGAGAGAATATGGGACCAGAAGGATGATACATCTGCTGCGTAATTCCTAGGTGACTAGATCCAGAAGTGCATTTAGCTGCTCTGAGAGTGTACTTCCTGCCTTTTGTGCTTGCAGAGAAGAGCAAATCCCCTACAATGGTATCACAATAACAGCAAAATTATTGGGTGACTTCTTGTATTTTCCTCATTTGTAAAGGCTCATCCACATTATCCTGCCCTGGTGCTGCACAGATTTGGGCATGGCCCATCAGCAGGCAGAAAGGTTTTATTGCAGTTGACTTGCCAAGAACCACGTCTCAGATTCACGGAAATGCCCGTAGCTGTTAGCAAGAAAGGTGGCCTGATTCCAAGGAGATACACTGTGGGTTGGCAGCTCCTCTGAACATTAAATCTGAACATGAAGCGCAGACCTTCAATCCCCTAATCAGATGCAGTTTTCATCACCTCAGTCTGAAAAGCTAGGCCACCCTTCTTGTCTCCAGCAAGAGTAAAGGGACTATTTGATTAGCCAAAGGAGAGCCAGCACCCAGCTGACCACAGGCATCAATCTTGGTCTGACCAAGAAGTCAATGAAGTGCAAAGAAAGCAGCTGCAGAGGGTTTGTTAAGGGCAAGTTATGTGTGTTTGGTGTTAAAATTACCCAAGGTGGCTGAGCCTGAGCCCAGCAGCATGAGTGAGTCAATGTCTTCTCAGCTGGGCCATGGTGAAATGCAGGAAAATCCCCAACAGTGATTTGGAAAGTCACATCTGCCCACCACCTGGCAAAGAGCCACTATGCAGCTCTAGAACAGCAACAGTCTTTGTAGCAGTGCCAGAAGGAAAAAGGGTCTAATTTATTTCCAAAATTAGTCAAAGATTATTTTTTTTTTACATTCTGCTCTGGGGAAAAAAAATAAATCAGTTTTCTCTGGTATTTTTATTTCCTGCTTTCTTTCCTGCTGGTCACCAGCTCAATATAAACTTAACTTATCTGCAGCAACACACGGTTTGGACCAAAAATATCCATGCTGTAAAGCATTCAGATTACTTCCATTGGATAGATATTATTTTGATGTCTCTCCTGCACGTAAAGCAAGCCCTGCACCATTTCTCTTGACACTTCTTCTGTTACGACTCCAAATTTTAGATACAGCCATAAAGCAGCAACACTGCAAACCATCAGACTGCACACCACAGAAACTGGAATGACGAAATGCATTTGAGATGTTGACAAGAAGGTGGGAAGAGGCAGAGCATTCGTCCTTTCTGTAGTCATCTGCACTCTGGCTTGGCCTAAGAATGCTTGACTAGTGAAAATCAACATATCTGAAGGCTTTTGCTTTCCTACAGGCGATGAATAATCAAATGTTGTGGTACCAAAAGCACCTACAGAGGAACTGAAAATCCTGTTGGTATAGACGGAAGGACCTTTGTCTGTGGTAGTTATGGAGTTTAGAGTAGGAACTGAAGCAGTTTCCATGCTGTCCAGGATGGAGGGGGGATCTGAACCCCTATAATCAGCATCTGGTGTATTGGTTTTTGCAGTTGCAGGATCCAGGAATTCATCTGTAGGAAGTACAGGGTGGTCTGATCCTTTAGAAATGGCCATGGGATCTGAATTCGAGCTAGGAGAAATCACGTCTTGAACATCAGACATAGCATTTGCAGTATGTCCTACAGGTTCTTCTGTGGAGCCTACAGCATTGTCAAAACCATGCACAAGAGCCTTGTGGAATGGGGTGGGCTGGTTGGAGACAATGCCTATTGAAGAAGTTGTTGAAGGTGCAGGAGATTTTAAGGAATCTCTGTTTGATTCTGGACTGACTTCAGAGCGGGCAGTAGCCTGAGATGGAGCTGTTACTGTAAGGCCAACATGTTTCTGAAAAATACCAGGCTCTTCTGGAGCTGCTGCCGAGGTGGCACCATGTGAAAGCAGGGAGGCTTCAGCCTTTTTCTGGTCCAGTTTCTCTACAATCTTCTTCACCCACTTCGCCTCTGGATCTGCACAAATCTCTACAGACTTCAGAGTAATAAATCTGAAAACAAAGAGGGATCACTTAGTGGATAAAGCAAACAGTGGTTTAGATGATCAGCGTGATAGGGAAGGCATGCAGACAGCAACACTGTCTCTCTCAAGCCCACAGAAAACACCACAGGGGTTGGATGGATGTTTTATTTCAGGAAGGGCAGGTGCCTCTGAGATCTGACTGAATGGTGAGCAGCTGAACATTACTCATGAGTGAAGGGATTCCCCCAAGAAGTTTTCCTCCTTTGAAAGCATTGTCTTGATGTTTGGATGCAGTGTTTGCCTCCAGTGCTCAGGGCAGGAAGATCCTCAAGCATTAGTTGCCCAGGGGCAAGCATATGTGAAGACAAAATCCTCTGGTTTACTGAGTGAGATAAGACTTTTCAAGGACAGCCCAGTGGGTTCACTTTGAAACAACCTTCTGGGCTTCAACAAAATGGTCTTAATAGTGCCTCAGTTTCAGGATAAGCTGAAAACAACAATTATCCTAAAGGGGAATGAAGCTTTACTCATCCCTAGTCAAACTCTAAGTCTTAATCTGTCTCCAGAGAAAACAACTGCTTTCACAGAAACATGTGAGCTCTCATCCTGCGTGCTTCCCTGGAAGTGTTGGAACTGGATGAGCTTTAAGCTCCCTTCCAACCAGAACCCATCTGTGAGCCTATGATTCTATGACTCCAAAGCCCCCTTCTGCCAAAAAGGACATCTGTCAGTCCTTTTCCCATGTATTTATCCCCACCTTACTCTGTGTGTGAACCCATGATCTCACTTGGAGTCTGCTGATCTTTAAATGGGGGAGAAAAAAACCCACCCACCCTTCAAATAAATACCAGCATTTGCTCTGTTTCCCAACTGAGCCTTGCTCTGAAGCAAGGGCATGGGATGACAGGGTGATGCTGAATCGGGGTTTGGATGATGGCGCAGTGCTTACATGATGGCTTGTTTGGTGCAGCGGGGCTCAGTCCTGCGGTAGCTCCTTATCCGATTTGCTGCTATGCCAGATGCAAAACCACCACACTCAGTTGAACACTTCAGAGGTGCTTTAGGTTGCCCTGAAAAAGTATTCAACATATTAAACACTGGCTTTTTATCTGCTACTATAAAAACTGGCACTGTTTCTCTTTTCTCTTCTCTGGGCAGGAGTCAAGAGCTTGCCATGAAAGTTTCCAATACCTGCTAAAATGAGATGAAGAAAAATCCCACCAGGGCCAGGAGTTTCTGTGTCACCCAAACAGGCGATAAAATGCCCAGAAAACTAAAAAAAAAGCACCATGAAAACTGTGGGGCTCTTGGGCCTCCACTGCAGCTTGTCTTACAGGATCTGCAAGCACTGCCTGGAGGTCCCTTGTGCAAGGACCTAGTCCTGCAGGTCCCCTCCTCTTTGGGTCACAGGAGGACTGCTCTCGCACAGTGCCCAGAAAACACATTTCTTCATCCCCAAAAGACCTGCTATAACTGTCACCAACAGGCTCTTGGTGTAGGCAATGCAGGCATAGCAATTCCTCTGGTGGGAGTTCCCCTCCAGGTGAGCATCCTGCCTCTCTGCTTGCTTATATGTGATCTCTGAATGCCACCTGAACTCAGAGAAAGGGTGCGGAGAAAGAACTGCTCCACTACTCCATTAGATATTTCAGCAGCCCAGCTTTACAGCAGTTTCTCACCAAATATCTCCTCTTCTCCAGAAAATTCGGTTTTAATTTAGTGAAGTGTAAAAATAAACCTCACTTGACCCCTTCAAGGGGCAAAGCCAGTCACAGCACAAGGGACCCTTTGCTCCTGCTCCTACCCCAGCCTCTAACAACACATTTGCCAAGAGAGGTGGGGTTGCACAACGCATCTTGGCAATTTGTTTCTGACATCCCAGGAGTCAAGACTTATTAAAAAAAAAGCCCTAATTTATCTTAGAAGAAAGGAGCTGGAGGCTGGTTTAGATCAGCCAGTCTCTACAAAATGTTGTCTCAGTTTCCCAAATGGATTTGGTGAATTTGATGCAGTTCATTTGGGAATGATCCAGCCACCAGGACCAAGAATGAACATCACAACGGGAACAACCTCAGCTCTTTTGATCTATTTACTGAGGTAACCCATTGCAAAGAAATCACAAGCAAATCCCTCATGGCCCTTTTACAGAAGCACATTTCAATCTCTGTAATGCTAAAGCAAAGCGATCTGTTCACACAATAATGTGTTTTCTGGCACTGTAGGGTCAAGAATACCTGTTCAGGGGAGACCAGTTTCCCAATTAACTCTCTATAGCCAGAGGACACACTGCTGGTGTCCCCCACTTTCAGAAGCACTGTTCAACAAAACAGGCACAGCAACAAGAGAGCCAGAGCCATCCCTGTGGATGGAGGTGCATGGCAGGGAGTGGCTAGGGACTGCTTCCAAAGGCCCTTCTCCTCTGATAACCATTAACTGATTTTCCAGTTATGGGCACCGATGCAAATGGTCTGCAATTAGCTGAATTCCTGGTGTGTTTTTCCCTAAGATGAGGAGCTTGGAAAGCCCCTTCCAAGGACAAAGCAGTGTTAGAGGGAGCATGGAGCCAACCCTAGTTGTCCCCCTCCTCCTGGGGCACACAACCCTGCTTCTCAGTCTTTGCCAAAGGGACCTCAGGGACACCTGAGAGATTTTCCATCCAGAGCCACTGCTGCTCAGAGGCACCACTCATGAGAGCCACTGGTACTTGCTTTTCAGCATGGTTTCTCAAGAGATCCCAGCCAGAAAGCACCACCAGCCTTTCTTTATTCTGAGCCCATCTGATTCCATCACTTCAGAGGAGATGGACACTTGGCCACAGGGCAGCAGAGCTAGGCAGTGCCAAAGCAGGCAGCGGATTCCAAAGGCAGGGTAAGCTGCCTGATGTCCCAGTGCCCAGTTTACTCACACCAGACCTGGAGAGCCTGAACAGAGGTATGAGGAAAGGAAGAAGATCCTTCCCCAGCTGCCTTTGCTGTCTGTCTTCCTCTGGACTGGTGGCAGCAGGGCACAGATCCTAAGGGCTTTTTGCCACTTTCCCTTCTCTTGGTGAGAACAGATCATCCCTATTGATTCAGAGAAAACTTCAGGAACTCGCCAACAAAGTTTTAAGTTGACAAGCAGGTATTCTTTATTGCAGCGCCAGAAAACATGGGGAATAGCTCCTCCAAGTGTGTCTCATCTTAGCATCAACCAGGCTGTGATTATATTGTCCTTAGACATACGTATTCATTAGATTACATACATTACATCATACTTCTTAGACAATGCCTCCTGTATGCATACAAAAATGTGGTAGTGGGCTTTCGGACCCCAGTGGTTATTTCCTCATCACTTTGTTTTAGGATCGTTGTCATATCAGTAATCACCAGGTGGTTCTGGCAAAGCTTATCTTAGTAATTTTTGTTTTCTCTATAGTTGCTAACAAAGCCCAACATTCTTGAGGTTACTTATTTACAACCCTATTCTTCAATCAACCCCAATTTTCAATCCCCCATATTTCTTGTTCTATTGCAAATTCTTTTGCAACTGAGTTATTTCATTTTTATTTAAACTTTCCTGAAGTATTTCCCTGTTTCTATTTGACGCTTAATTTTGTTTCTCTTCCATTCATCATAGTTCATCATGGTTTGTTTGCAACACCAAAACGAGCATTGGACCGTTATGCATGTAATTACAACCATTCCAATTATTACAAATATAGTAAAAAAACCCATTTGTCTCAACCAGGAGAGATTGGGTACCCATGATGTTAATTTTTCCCAAATTTCCTCAAGTCCCCATGAGGTGTTGTCCTGAGCCACCTTATGAAATATTTTAACTTGTTTCCACATTTCCTTTAGATCAGTAGTAACTCTTCCACTTTGATCTATATAGGAACAATCTATTCGAATTTGTCTTAAAGGGGATAGGGAGGCTAATTAAAGGAATACCCAGTCTCTCCCCTGATTTAGGTAGCTGAGTACAGATCCAACAATCACTCGTTTAAGACATTAGCAACATTTTGTATCAATCTCAGATACAGATTTTGATTCCATGCTTCTACACCAATTATTATACAAGTCCAGATTATGATCGATGTAATCTCATATGTGTGGGTAACATGCCATACTTTTCTCTGTTCTGATGTGTTTCTGGTTCTTGAATAATGTTGGTTGTTCCTTTATCTTCACTGCTGTAAAGGTGATCAATGTTATCTGGTATGGTCCGCTCCATTTCTCCTGTAGAGAATCTTCTGAAAAATTCTTAACATGAACTCAGTCTCTGGATCTAAAAGGGTGAGTTGGATAACCCAAACCTCTCACTCTTGTCCCCAGTGTTCTCTTATTTCTTCTGTTTTCCCAGATTGATCAGAAACTCTAGGAGATAACCTTCTCCCACTTCCAGAAGACTTTCTCCTTCAAACTGGGACTGATATGGTCTTCCATATAAAATTTTACATGGTCTAGCCTCTTCTTTCGACTGAGGTTTAGCTCAAATTCTTAATAGAGCCAGTGATAAACCTTGGTACCAATATTAATTATTTTCCTGACATATTTTACCAGGCTGTTGTTTGATCAAATGAACCATCTTTTCTACTTGCCCACTGGCCTGAGGCCTGTATGGAACATGTAGTTGCCAATCAATTTCTAATTTTTTGAAAATTTCTTGTAACGATTTTGCTCTAAGGTGCGAGCCTTGGTCGGAAGAAATTGCCTCTGGTACTCCAAAACGAGGTATTATATCGTTTAATAATGTTTTAATTACCTGTCTTGCATTATTTATTCCACAAGGGAATGCTTCTGGCCACCCTGAAAAAGTATCGGTTAATACCAACAAATATCAATAACCTCATTTTCTAGGTAATTCAGAAAAATCTATTTGGCACTGTTGTCCCAGATAATTCACTTTTCCAGTTGTCCCTACCTGATTCCTGTTTTCAGTCTTAGGGTTATTTTTTCAGACATAGTTGACATTGTTTTGTCACTTACTGCACTATGGTACAGTTATGATCTGTTTGTTTAAATGTTTATACAAGGCATTACTTCCCTAGTGTATTTTGTTATGTTCTTCTTATATCAACTTCAATATCAATTATAGGGGATCACTACTTGCCCATCAGGTACTTTTATCCAACCTTTTTAATTTTCCTGTCCTTCCAAGTCTTCAGTTAGTTTCATATCTTCTTCAGAGTACCTAGGTTTATTTTGCTCAATTACCAGTTTACAGTCAGGGATTAAGGAGATCACCTCAACTCTTTCTGCTGCCCATTTAGCCTCACGACCAACCAAATTATTTCCAGTCTCTTGATCCAGAGTTACGTCTTTGCTGTCCTTTACAGTGTACGATAGCAACTTCATTGGGTAATTGTACAGCTTCTAACAATCATAGAATTTCTGCTGCATGTTTAATTTGTCTTCCATGGGTATTTAAAAAGTCCTTGTTCTTTCCAAATTGCTCCATGTGCATGAGCTACACCAAAGGCATATTTGGAATCAGTCCATATGTTTATCTGCTTGTCCTTTGCCAACTCCAAGGTTCTAGTCAAGGCTATTACTTCTGCCTTTTGTGCTGAGGTGTTAGAGGGTAAAGGTTTAGCATCTATTACCTTTGAAGTTGTAGTTATGGCATAGTTTACCATCTTTAACAAAGCTGCTGTCATCGGTGAACCAGGAATCTGCACCCTCCAAAGGTTCCTCCTTCAGATCTGGTCAGCTCAAATATACTGTCTCTATAGTGGCCAAGCAATCATGAGTCAACGGTTTGGTAGGGATTTCCTGAAGGAAAGATGCTGGATTCACAGCATTATTGATCACACTTCAAGAAACATGATGGCAATAGCCAATGTGTACATTTTTGTACTGCATGTGATACTAACACGGTGATCTTTTGTCCCAGTGTAAATTTTCAGGCCTCTTGGATGTTTTAAGATAACTGCTGCCACTGCTGTCAAGCATCCAGGGCAGTCTTTACTTGGTCCATCCAGTTGTTTTGAAAAATAGGCCACTGCTATTGCAAGATCCCAATTTTTGAGCCAAAACCCCCAAGGCTATTCGCTGTTTCTCATAGAAATATAGCCAAAAGTGTTTAGTTATGTCCAGGAGCCCCAGAGCTGGAGCTCGCATGAGTTCTGTCTTTAAACTTTGAAACACTTCTTCAGCTCGATCTGTCCATTTTAGAAAGACTGGATTTTCTTTTAGCAGCTCATACAAGGGTCTTACCAGAACACCATAATCATGGATCCAGAGTTGACACCATCCAGTCATTCCCAGAAACATCTGGATATCTTTAACTGTGGATGGTCACGGTGTTTGGCAGATTGCTTCCTTCTTAGCTGCTCCAGGTTCTGGCTGTCCTTCTGTTATTTTGCATCCTAAATAAGATACTTGAGTTCGAATTAGTTGAGCCTTCAGTTTAGATACCTGGTATCAATTTAGCCCCAGAAAGTTTAACAATTCTACAGTCCATTGAACACATTCTGTCTCAGTTTTGGTAGCAATTAACAGGTCGTCCACATACTGTAGTAAAGTTCCTGTCTGCGTGGGTGCTTCCCAGAACTCTAATTCTAGTGCCAGCTGATTTCCAAAAATGGTCGGATTGTTTTTAAATCCCTGAGGTAACACCCTCCGAGTGAGCTGTGTCCTTCTTCCTGTTTCAGGGTTTTCCTATTCAAAAGCAAATAAATTTTTACTTTCTTTGGCCAGGGCTAGACAGAAAAATGCATCCTTCAATTCCAGAACGGTAAACCACTCCTGATTAGTATTCAATTTAGTCAATAAGGTATACAGATTAGCTACTGCTGAATGAATGTCCTCCACAATTTTGTTGATTGCTCTGAGATCTTGAAATAATCTGTAACTTTTCCCATCGGATTTCTTTAATGGCAAGATAGGAGTATTATATTCTAATTCACATTCAATTAATAATCCATATTTTTTTTTATTATTTCTTTGTTTCCCTTTTGATCCTTCAATTTTAAGGGAAATTGTTCTATTTTAATTGGGCAGCCCCCCCTTTTATTTCTACTTTTAACAGGCAAAGCATTTTTTTTGCCTTACCTGGAATTTCAGATGCCCATACTCCCAGATATACCTGGATTAAGGATTTATTCTATTTCAGGGAGGTCTTCCTGTTTGCTTTTCTGTTGAATTAAAGATAAACTCAAAACTGCAATTAATTGATCATTTTTTACTTTTAATACCATTTTGCCTTCTGTAAATGTTGCTTCTCACCCTAATAAAGATTTTTGGGGGATTTGGCATGTATAAAAATTTATGCATTCCTATTTGTTTTCCCAATTTGTACTCTAAAGGTTTCAGGAAGAATGCTTTTCTTTGTTTTTGTTTCCTTTTTTTTTTCCTTGGTGGCCAGTAGCTCCCACATCTGTAACAAATTCTTTTCCTCTGATTTAATGTCAAATAAGTTGCTCCTGTATCCACTTAAAAATTCCACTTTATTTCCTCTAATTCCTCATTTTAATTTAATCAGTGGATCTGCTAGGGTAGATTCCCCAGGTCCCTGTCAGTGTAGTTCCAATTCGGTCACCGGAGCCACCCCATGGCACTCCCCCCAGGGCAGTCTCATTTCCAACATCCAAACTCCTTACACTATGCACACTGATCCCATCCCACAAGAGAATTCAGTTTCTCTCCTCTGCCTGTCATTCCTCCTCTACCTCTGCCTTGTCCTCTCACATTAATCCCTCCACCAGTTTCTACTTGTCCCAAAGCAGCCACTGTAGCCGTGCCTATAGCACGATTCAGCCCTTTCTTCTCTACATGTTTCCAATTCTGATACACTCTCCACACTTCTTTAACATTCTCAAGTCCTTCTGCTCTGTTGCCAGCGACAGCAACCTCTTCCTCCTTATCAATAACATATAGGGCATACGCCGAGAGTGCTCCTCTCAGAGGTACCTGTGCTACATAATCCCCCAACCTATCTTCCTGACTACTCTGTTTGGTTTTGTTGTGGATTTGTTTTGTTTTTGGTTTTGGTTTTGGTTTTTTTTAACTTTAAACATCATTCCCCCAATATCCCAGGCCGAACAACATCTCTCCAGCTTAGCTTTCTGTTTTTCCCTGCCCTTTTCCAAAGCCAAAATTAGGGATCTGGCAGAGCTATATTAATTTCACATTCTGCCTGCCGCTCCAGGTGGTTTCTTAAAGTTAAAAACATATCTGCATACATTACTTCATCCCATTTTTCTTTGCCACCTCAAAAACAACATTAATTGTAACAATGCATTATAATTCAGAGTTCCATTTTTAGGCCATTTCTCCTGATCTCCCAGAGTATACAACGGCCAGCGTTGGTTATGATATTTCACCAACGTTTTCTTATTTACTGAGCCCCCAGGAAACCCTCCCAGTTCTTTCCAGTGTGCCAAAATGCACCCTAAAGGACTCTTGCAAGATCTCTCCACAATGCCGATTTGTCATTATTAACCTTGCATTCACACACACACACACACACACACACACACACACACACACACACACTCCACACAGTTACAACACTTGAGACAGAGACAAAAACTGTATCAAAGGAGCAACAATTAATAACACAGTTATAACAGTCTGTCACCAATACCAAAATCACAAGACCAAAATCATAACTATAACAAGCCACAGCATAAGTCAAACACCAGTAAAAATCCAAAACCTTTTCTACAAGACACCCACTGCGTCTTGCAGGACCCAAACCACAAGATGCCCCCTGCTTCTTGTGACTGTATACCAAGCGAACGCTAGCAGCCAGGTGTATGCCTTTACCCATGAGGTTTCCTATCTTGATTTACAGAAGGCTTCCAAACCTTGCGTACGCTTACCAAAGCAGTTTACCAAACAGATGCCCCGTGCATCTTGCAGACTATATAAAAGAAAAGAATAACTTTTATGAGCTGGTCCTTGTCTGCTCCCGCAGTGATGTGAATGAGTCGAGGGGTCCCCCTGGGAAAAACTCCCGAGGTCCCTAGGGAGCCCTGTCCTGCAGCCGAGCAGGGAGGGTCCTATCTGGGGTGCCAAATGATACAGAGAAAACTCCAGGAACTCGCCAACAAAGTTTAAGTTGACAAGCAGGTATTCTTTATTGTGGCACCGGGAGACACGGGCGATAGCTCCTCCAAGTGTGTCTCTACCAGGCATCAACCAGGCTGTGTTTATATTGTCCTTAAACGTACGTATTCATTAGATTACATACATTACATCATACTTCTTAGACAATGCCTCCTGTATGCATACAAGAATGTGGTAGTGGGCTTTTAGACCCCCGGTGGTTATTTCTTCATCACTTTGTTTTAGGATCATTGTTATATCAGTAACCACCAGGTGGTTCTGGCAAAGCTCATCTTAGTAATTTTGTTTTCTCTATAGTTGCTAACAAAGCCTAACATTCTTGAGGTTACTTATTTACAACCTTATTTTTCAATCAACCCCATTCTTCAATCCACCCTGTTCTTCAATCAACCCCAGTCTTCAATATGTCCTGGGCAAAGTCCAACTTTGCCTGTGCTGCTGAGAAGCTTTCTGACAGCCTGGCAGCAATGCACCCTGCTTAATTGCTACCTGGGGCAGAAATTACTGATCTGTGCCACAGATCTTAAACCAAGACCAGCCTAGGGAGTGGTGTGCCCACCTCTTCCCCATCCTCCAGCCCACCCCAGAGCAGAGTGCCCTGTGCCTTGCAGTGATGGGAGCACAGCATCCTGTGCAGACAGACATCCAGCCCTGGACAGGCTGTGGTCTATCCCTTGGGGACATGGAAAAAGGGGAAAAGAAGTGCATTATACTTCTTTTCTAATGAGGATGATCAGAAAGTCCCTCTGACACTCTTCCCACCTACCCTCAGAGGTGCTAGAAGCCATCTCAGGCTGCTTGGAGGTCACTGCTGCCAGGGTAACTGCTGTAGGCTCCCTCTGCCCCTTTTCAAACCCAGCCTGATCCTGTCATGAGATCTCCCACAGCCCATGAAGGTCTCCTGATGCCCATTGCCCGATCCAGCGCTGCTTCTCCTCCCCCCGAGCACTTCACCTCCCCTTTAGTGAATGTGGCTGCTCCACTGGGGAGCCCGCAGGGACGCAGAGCCGCCACTCACCTCCAGCCCGGGCCACCAGGCACAGGACCCTCAGCACAAACAGGACCTGGAGAGAAACAACCTTCATGTTCCCGTGGTCTGCAGCAGGAAGGGCATGCAGGGAAGGATTACTAGCAGTATTTCCTGCTCCCGACTGCTTATTGTGTCCTTCGGAGCAGCACAGTTGCTGCAGTTCATTCCAGGATTATGAAGGCCTGAGGTGGGAGTTTCAACTGTTATTTAGCTCCCACAGACACATCCCAGATGCAGGGAATGTCGCCTGCTCCAGATACAGACAGCTCCTGGAATTCCCCGCCTGCATTTGCATTAGCTTTCCTTAGCGCTTGTAGATCAGCTGCAGCTCCTTGGTGACTCATTCAGGCAGGGATGGACTTCCAGGAGTCACCTCCTCCATCCTCCTCTCCCACTGGGAGAGGCACCACTGTCCTCAGGCTTATAAAGCTCTCCCCACCTCCAACCCCCAGCTGTCTGGTGCACTAAGCTCATTCTTTGCCTCAAATGTGAAAGCAGCTATTCCTTTCCTTTTTGGTGGTCATTTTATAACAGCAGCATAAGTCGTTAGGCTAAAAGAGGCAGAATGTGTTAATCGGGATTACAAGTTCATCAGCTGGACTGGTGAGCCCAAGTTCGGCTGCCTCTTGGGAGCATCACCAAAGCCAGGGGTGAGCAGGGACCCAGTGGCCTCCCCAGGCAGCTCCATGCTCACTGAGAACGCTGTCTGTGAAGCATGCTTGTCACCACAGCAATGACTTTGGGTATACATTATGGTCTCAGCCCTTGGGGTGTTGCTGATGCTGAGGGCATGAGTACAAGGCACCCAGATCTCCAAGCAACTGGGCTGGCCAGGTTGCTTCCTGAAGCAGCATGAAGTAGACACACAGACACAGCAGTCATATCCTGCACCTTTACTTTCTCTTTCATCTCAGATCCCAGCAGAGTACATGGCAATTTCCCCTGCCAACTCCCACAGCTGAAAGGTGAAGATAAGATCAAATCTGAGACAGTGTGGCTGCCCCTGAAATATTTGTTTTCCCAGAGTTTTCTTAGGGCTGATGGAAACCGGGCTTCTCTGTGGGGGGGGGAAATTCCAACAGTTCCAGTTAGAATTTTATTCCTAAAGACTGAAATCCCCTAGGTTTCCATAGGATATATTTTTAGAAACTTAGAGCCTGTAACTTCAGCCTTTGCTTATATTGTAATAGGAGATAAAAACCCATTTCAAGGAAATTAAAGTAAGAATTAAGACCTTGAAATGGTCTGTTTGATCCAGTCAGAACAGAACACGCTGCATCTGTTGGGCCTTTTTCAGGCCTCTTCCACAGATGGTGTTTTCTCAGGCTCAGCAGAGCCTTACAGGAAACTTGCACCCAGGAGCTGGCGTTGCCTGGGGCTGTTGGTGTTCTGGCTGCTGGAAGTGCTAGCATGGCCCAAGCATGCTCACGTCTGCCCTGAAGAAATGGGTTCTGCTCCACCTGCAAAGGGCTTACTGCCAGTGATGGGTAAAACTGATGGAAGGGCTTCAAGTGTGCATACAGTGGGAGGGTGAGTATTCTGTTTGCTAAAGGCACGGCTTGCCACAGGCGTTGTTTTAAGGCTGGAAGAGCTCAATGCAGCTGCTTTTCCTGTGCACCTAGGGCTCATGGCAGTCCTGGTAGGGAACTCTGCAGGACACCCTTAAAAGACTTCCAGTTGCTCCCAGTGAGGTTGGCAGCTGGGTTTGGAGGTGGCATATGTACGAGGGTGGAGGACAGCAGCACCTCAGCACAGCTCTGTGGGTCATGGCAAGCCAAGTGCTGGCAGCGGTGTGGGCCTAAGGCAAACCTTGCAGCTCCTTCCTGAGAGCAGGACACAGAGGAACATCGACTGACTCCAATGGGAGCAGGCAAAAAACGTGGCCTGCAGCTGACAGAAAAGTGGAACCACTGCTCCCAATCCACTTCCTACACCACCCTCCCTGTCCCCCTGCACATCTGCTCACTGCACTGAAAACCCCAAAGTCAGAGGACCTGCTGTAGCCCAGGAGATATTTCTGTTGTACATCTCAATAAAGCATAGGTGTTGTATCAATCTGACAGTGAACAGTCTCAGGACAAGGACAGGTTGGATGGGGCTTGTAGCAACCTGCTCTAGCGGAAGGTGTCCTGGCCTGTGGCAGGGGTTGGAACTGGATGAGCTTTAAGGTCCCACCTAACACAAATCAGGCTGGGATTCTGTGATTCTCTGGGCTTGTCTTGGCTTCAGCTGATTTTAGCTTCTTTAGTTATGATAGAAATTTTCCAGGCAATTGCTGCTGTCAATTTGATTTGGCTTTGCTTTAGTTTTTAGGAATAGCAAGTAGTTAGTTATCCAGCATGGGTATGGGACTGTATATATATAATATATATTACATATATATTATGTATTATATATTAAATTGTGATGTGGATGAGGGCAGGCAGGGAATGACACCAGCAATCCCAGTCCATGAACATGAATCACAGCACCTGAGCAATGGAGTCTGCAACCCTGCAAGTCAGGGGCATCCGGCTGTCAGGAAACAAAGTGCAGAAAAAATTAATTACTGGGAACCAGGGAACACAGGCTGTGCTAAGCAAATGTAGGAAATGAAACCAAGCAGACCACAACTGAGGAGGAAGAAAGCCTATCATGAATGTCATATCCTTCCAGTGACCACTGTGAGCTGGAACAGCTTCTCACAACCATACCCCATTCTTCCACAGAAGGATGAGAAGAAGGCTTCTTAAGGTTACTCTTAGCACCCAAAGGCTCTCTGAAGGGGCGGTACAACACTGACAAAAAGCAGTAGATACTGGGAAGAGGTCTGGAATTTTGCTCCTATAACTTTTAACTGCATATGAATGAGGAAGGACATTAGGTTGATCTGAAACATGGAAAGGAAAAAAACATAAGCAAATCTACGTCTGAGGGAACTGGGGGTGTTTAGACTGGAAAAGAGAAGGCTCAGGGGGACCTTATCACTCTCTGCAACTACCTGGCAGGAGGATGGAGCCAGGAGGTGGCTGGTCTCTGCTCCCCAGGAACAAGGGATAGGACAAGGAAAAATGCCCTCAAGCTGCACTAGGGAAGATTTAGACTGGAGATTAGGGACAGTGTCTTCCCCAAAGGGTGCTCAGGCATTGAAACAGGCTGCCCAGGGCAGTGGTGGAGTCACCGTCCCTGGAAGTGTTCACACACCGTGTAGATGAGGCCCTCAGTGCCATGGTTCAGTGGTGGCCTTGGCAGTGCTGGGGAACGGTTGGACTTGAAGATCTTAAAGGTCTTTTCCAGGTTTTAAGGCTGATTCTACAACCTGTGCACACGCTACCAAGTGTGGGTAGAGGGACCATGCACAGGCCACTTGCTACTGCTAGAGCTGCAGACCCTGGGCCACCTAACACAGCTCCAGGATTGATCCTCAGCACCCACAGAAGCACTTCGTGGCTCAAGCCAGGAAGTTCAGTGTCAAGGCTGGAGTCTGGGCTCCCTAGCTTCAGTTCCTGCCCTGCTCTAAGGGCAGTTTCATATCAGGATGGATGTCCTGCTACTTAGGTCTTGATCTTGGTCTTGGTCTGCTGTGGAGAAAGTTAGAATAAGGTCTGGGGTGCCCTGAATGTTGGTGACAGCACAAGGCACACTCAGAAGCCCTAACCTTTGGTTGTTCACTGGCAACCATTAGCCAGAGAGCTTATTGCTCTGAATGACAGATAGCACAGGTCAAAGGGCCAGATCCCATCTTCCCCAGTAGTAGTTCCAGCATTTTCCACCCACTGCAGCTTTGCCGGGATTGTTTGCAGGCAAGCTCTTCAGGTCTGCTCAGAGTCAAGGACCTCACAGGTGGAAGGAACATATGACTAGTGCTGGGGAATTGCTCTTGAAGGCAAGAAGGAACTTAGCCCTGAAAAGACAATATGCGAAAAGATATGCAAAGGGAACAAGGCCTGTGTGCCAGACAAAAAGGAAACAGCCCCAGAACATGGCATCCTCCAGGGTGTTTCCATGCTGGAAATGTTTGTTACGGTAGGTTTGTCTTCCTGGAAATCACGTGGTGACTGGGAAAAAAAGGTCAGTGAGATCTTAGGAAGCTGTATGACCTGGAAGAGAGATGCCAGAGCTGATCCAAAGAAATGATGAAGATTTCCACTGTATGGTGTGTTCAGGAGCTCCCAAGACCTCAGGAGTCAGTTTTTGTGGACCAAGGAAGCCCAGCACCCCCAGCAGTAGGTATTAACAGCACCCTTTGCTGCCCTCTGTCCCAGAGGCTTGCTGGAAAGAGGCAGCAGGAACATTTAGCTTTTGGGAAGACCCAGCTGGGCTTGATGCTACTGAGAAGACAGGCTGACACAGGACTCCAGCTCTGGGTGTATGATGAGATTTTCCTTTCCCAACTAAGCCTGCCTTGTTGCAGCTCATCTTTGCACTACCCCCACCCCTCCCCAGTGGCAGCTCAGCCATTGCTGTTATACAATCCCCCTTTTACTGCAGCCCAAGAGCATTAGACTCAAGGGAGCTGAAGCACCTCCCCTGCAGTACAGCTTCCATGCTCGCTAGTACTCGGCTCCTCCAGTTCTCTCAAGGAGTATATATGCAGCAAAGTCTGTGAGCCAGGACATGGGAGGCTGGTGGTGCACAGATTACACATGAGGTCAGTTGGTCCTTGATGTGTAGGACCGGATTTCCAGGCTTCAATCTGGAGAAACTCCCAATGGCTTTTCCAGTGGCATGGCACTGGTTGGTATGGAACAGAGCAGTCCAGGTCGGCCCAACAACCTCCCCTCTCCTTGCCAAGGCAACCAGTGACACATTCAGGCAATGGTTCCTTGGAGCTACAGGGGCCTCCCATACTGTAGATGCTCTCAACCTGTGCTTAACGTAGATCTCTTTGAGCCATTACTATTATAATGGAGAAAATTAAATTTTGGGATCCATTAAATCTGTTTGGCACTGCACAGTTTTGAGTTGCCCACATTCAAGAAAAGGGCAGGAAATGGGAATCAGTCTGGGGCTGTCTGCAGCCAGTGCCTCCACAGGAGATGGAACAACTCTTACTTGGGAAGTATCGACCATAGCAGGGCTTGTGTTTTTAGGAAACTGCCTCACTTAGAAAACATTTCCAAAACCAGCAGATGACATCACGCAGGCTCTCAGTTCTCTGAACAGATTTTCCCTTGTAAATAAGAGCAAATCAGGTCATTAGCACAAAGTGCAAAATGCTGATACTCTGTTTTCCCACAGCGAGG